TCGAGTGCCAGGCCACGGCATGGTTGTCGGTCTTTCCAAATGGGCCCCAAAATCTAGAAAAAGGCTTCCCGAAGAAACCATCGGAAGCGATTACCTATTCGGTGGCGATTCGTTGGTTTGTTGGGCCGCGGAAGCCCCCACACTTTGGGGCGTCGCCACGCCATGCTATGTCATGCTACGCGTTAATATTCGACACCTTGCTATGCCAAGTAGTGTTATGCCATGCTACGACATCTGAGTGTGCGAGCAGAGAGGAGATATACGCCATGGTCAGGGGTAGGACGTCTGACATGACGCGAGCGCATCTAGCTTGACCCCACCCCTCTCATGTGACCAGCTTTTTGCGGGACCCCCACGACGATAATCAGCACGGCGGCCACATGCAGCGCGACGATGAGCAGCACGAGGACGTGCAAATTAGCAGCACGAATATCCAGTTGCTCGCGACAAGTCCCGCCACCGTGTCATCCCAGCATTTTGGGTGGCGACTGTTCGAGGGGGCACGGGAGGCCGTCACGTGTGACACCTCGTGTTTGCAGTCTCTGGAGAGCCGTCATGATGATGATGGGGATGATGATGACCGATGCTATTGTTGGTGATAATGAACACGATGGTTGTCGAAGATGGTGATCGATGATGGTGATGATGATGATGATGATGATGATAATGATAATGAGAATGATGATGATGATGATGGTGATGATGATGATGATAACGATGGTGGTGATGGTGTTGGTGATGGTGTTGGTGATGGTGATGGCGATGTTGGTGATCACGATGGCCGTGGTGACGATCATGTTAATGCGCATGATGGACATGGCGGTGGCGATGCTGATGGTGATGGTGATACAGATGATGGTGCGACGATGACGATGATGATGATAATGATGGTGATGATGGTATCAGAGATGGTGGTGATATTGATAGCGATGCTGATGATGGTGATGATGATGGGGGTGATGATGAGGTTGTTGGCAATAATGTTGGTAATGATTCTGAGGACGAGGAGACTGATGATGGTGAGGATGATGACGATGATTGCGATGACGAGAAAGGTCATGATGATGATGATGGTGGTGAGCATGATGCTTGTGATGATGGTGATGATGTTGACGATGAGGGTTTGGGTGATTGTCATGGTGGTGACCAGATGGTAGTGATGATGGTGACGTTTATGGTGATGGTGGTGATGATGGTGATAATGGTGATGATGATGATGATGGTTATGGTGAGGATGATAAGTATGATGATGATGCGAATGACGATGATGCTGATGATGATGATGATGATGGTGGTGGTGGTGATGCTTATGCTGATGCTGACGATGATGATGATGATGATGATGATGATGATGATGATGATGATGATGATGATGATGATGATGATGATGATGATGATGATGATGATGATGATAATGAAACTCGGTTGGGTCGTATTGGGGTTGTCTTGGCCCCTTGTGAGGCAGTTGTGGGGGTCCCGTGGGGCGCTCTCGGGCCGTCTTGCGGTCCTCTCGCGCCCGTTTGGGGTTCTCTTGGGCCGTCTTGGAGCACGCTTGGCAGTATGGTAGGTGTTTGAGGGCCGTTTTGACGTCGATTGGGGCAATCGAAAGGCCTTCTAAGGCCGTCTTGGGTCCCAGGGGAGGCCCTTTTTGGGGCCGTCTTGGATTCCTCTGGGGCCATCGTGGAGTCCTCTTGGGCCGTCTTGATGCGAAAATCAGTCAAACACAAAAAGGGAAATCCATGAGTTCGGTTTCTGCGAACCTTGTTGGAGGTCCTCTTGCTGCCTTTTGGGCCGCTTTGAATCAGTATTCGGCCGCCATGGGGCCATGTTTGGCCGTCTTCGAGGCATGTTGGGACATTGTGGTGTCCCTGGTTGCCTGCACGGGCCTGAGAAGCTCGGGACGCAGATCCGTCCTTTTTAACAAGGGCGCGTGGTTTGGGCGGCCTCGGAGCGCTTGGGAGCAGCGCCTGGGAATGCGGTAAATGCACCATCCTCGAGCGGGTGCGCGTGGCATAAGGTCCCTAGCAGGTACCAGCCATGCGGGAAGGGCATAAATTTCGGAGGCGCGCATGGAGTGAGGGTTCAGGCATCTGCTGCCATGTGGGAAGTGCACCATGCTCGAGCGTGCACGCGTGGAAGGGGGGGTGCCACGCGGGAAGTGTAACATCCTCGAGCGGGCACGCGTGGAAAGGGTGGTTCAGGCACCAGCTGCCGTGCGAGAAGTGCGCCATCCTCGAGCGGGCACGAGTGGAACGGTGGATTGGACATTAGCTGCCATGCTGGACGTGCACCATCTTCGAGCAAGCACGAGGAAAGTGGCCTTGGAAAGGAGAGGCGATGCATGCAACAGTCCGCGGGGAGAGGGGGGGGGGGCGGTTCCTGCTTATTTTACACGAAAACCTTACCAGGCAGACCTTGGCATTCCTCCACGCCTCGACGTGCACAAGGCAAGGTGGCGGATCATCAACAAGACGAGGGACAGCACGACGAACAGCAGCAGCACGATGAGCTCCAGCACCTGTAGCTTCATAGCCAACAGGTCGCATGCGCGCGCATTCCAGCGGCCGACCCACAGCTGATGAGGGCACGAAAGGATGACAAATCCTGCCCCCCACACACCACCTACAAAGGCAGTCGGCTCATTGGAGTAGGCACGCAACAATGGTAGTAGCCAGCATTGTTGCTACACGACGGTACTGGGGACGACACTGATTTTGGGCATGGCGGCCGATTCACCCGACACTCTTGCTTTACGACGGTGATATCTCCACAAGACATCCTGGCTCTGAGGCTGGCGGCGACGTTCATGTTGGGTGAACTGGGCTATCCGAGGAACACTCTCGCTTCAGTATCCCATGCTGTTGTTGACCCTATTCGTTCCTTGTCGGTGCGTGGCTCCATCCATGTCTCCTCCCTCCCGCGTTCGCAGAAATAACCTGAAATCTCAGAGCGAAGGGGACCTTTCATTTATTCACATATCCGGGGCGCCGCATAACGACCCCTCGACACGCTCATTCGCAAAACAAACGCCATTAGCAGCCCGAGGGTTGGCAGCACGACGGGCTTCAGCGGCACGATTCTGACCAGCGCGACGGAATGCAGCATAATGGTTTCTGCATCGACTTACGCTCGGCACGACGGCCATCAGCAGGACGGCGGGGAATAGCATGACGGGTTTCAGCACTTCAATACTGAACAGAATGATTGGGCTCAGCATCCAGACTCCGACATCTGCGTCTGCGCAGCACGCCGGTCACCAGCAGCAGGACGATGAACAGCACGACGGGACTCAGCAGTACGATTGGGAGCAGCACGACGGAGCGCAGCATGAGTACCCACACATCTACGTACGCGCGTAAGGGGTGCACACCGTCATCAGCAGCATGACGATGAGCAGCAGACAGAGTCCAGCAATGCAATGTTCACCAGTACGTCAGATTGCGGCACAGAGACGCCTATGTCGACATCTGTGCGGCAATATTGGCCATCGACGCAATCTACCAACACCGACACCATCTACCAGCACCGACGCCAGACCTATTTCAACTTCGATTCTGGCTCCGACCCCAGCTCCGACACCGTGCATCGAGCACGTCTCTGCGAACGCGTCATTCACCACGATGCGGTCGAGCACCACCTCGTTACTTGCGCGATGCACGAAAGGCACTTGCAACACGACGATGGGCAACACGACAGACTCCTGTAGTACGACGCTGGCGAGCACGACGCAGTGCTGCAACATAACCACTCCTGCGTCCACGCCGACTCTTACAACCACGACTGAGCTGCACGACGGCCACCAGCAGCACGACGATGCTCATCACCACGGGCTCCACGAACACGAAGCTAAACAGCACGTCGGGACGTAGCCTTACGACTCGAATGTCCACCTGTGCGCACTACGACGGCTACAAGCAACGATCTTTGTGGGATGGCGCGACATGGTATTTCAAACGTCGAGTTGCTCGGGGTTCTCGTGAACGGTTTCAGTGCTGCCTTCAATTACGGATTGTGAGTGCGGCCCTGGCTGTGTCCAGGCTTTGCGTTCGCCTTCCTGGCCCTTTCGTCTGTCTGTCTCTCTCTTTCTCGTTTTCTCTCTCTCTCTCTCTCTCCCTGCCTCCACTCGTGCATGCGCAAGTGTTTCAAGCTGCTTAGTGCGTTTCCTGTCCCTAAGTGATGGCCCCGCTCCTACTTCTTAATTCACACCACTATGTAATGTTTTCTTGTTTGCTGGCCCTTATGATTGGGGTAACTGCAGTCCTGAACTCCTGGCAGTACCTTGCTTTCTACTGTACGTGGTTTGCCGACTTGTGGAACCTCGGGCTGTGATCCGGTCGCGCCAGTGTTTTTCGGCATTATCCTTTTCTCTCTCCCTCTCTCTCTCCCTCTGTTTCCGCCCTTTTCTTCCCGTCCTTGCTGCCTCTGTTGGGATGTTAGAAATTGGTTGTTGCTTTTTTTCATCGCTGTGCTCGCAAATGTCCGCCGCTGTCTGTAGTTCGCGCTTTCCCCCCTGCCCCCTTTGCTCGACCCTCCCGCCTTGATTGACGCTGTGTGTTTTCAATGTCATATAAGTTGTTGGTCGGGCTTCACGGGACCGCCGCACAGCGCCCTTGCCTCTTCGCCTCCTCCTCCTCCTCCTGATCCTCCTCCTCCTCATCCTTCATGTCCCTCCCTTCGTGTCCGAATTCGGGGCCCGAATCTCGTTCACGCTTTCAGGACAACCGCGGTGCCCAGCTGGAGGCTTCCTCTTGATATCCGCTCCAAGCAAAAAAACTCTCCCCATGTCGCCTCCTCGTTCGCTCGCCCCTCAGCAGTCGTGTCGTCGTCGTCGTCCTCCGCCTCCTCCGAATCGTGGGAGACTCCCGAGTGTGTGTGTGTGTGCGCAGGGAGATGGACACGAAGAGGAGAGGGCTCGAGAAGGAAGAGGAGGTGGAGAAGAGGGCCACGCGGAGCAGAAAGAGGTGGCCCGAGGAGCAAGAGGAGGGGGACGAGGAGGTAAAGGAGGAGGTACGTCTTCGCAATGGTGAGACGAGGCCGCCCGCTCGCAACGCGCTGCCGCGGCCTCGACGGCTCCGTTGGCGCTTGGGGGCCGCACGCGCGCGGGCCTCTGGCAGAGACCGGGCCGCCGCCATGGTGCTTCATGGGGTGAGTAAGCCGCGTGTTGCTCCAGATATCCAGCGAACTCCCGTTCCGTTTCGTGGATGTGCTTCAGCGCCGGCGCCGTCACGGGAGAGAGCGTCTCGGTTCCGGTATGCCGTCTCGAACGAAGTGTTTGACGCTTCTCTTCTACCCCTACTGGCCCATCCAGGAAGGATGCCCAGGAGAGTTTCCTTGATCAGGGCACTGAGAAAGTATGCAGTGGAGCAAGTTTGGGATCAGCCTGATCAGGCCCAGGATGAGGACGAGCACGTGAAGGAGGAGGAGGAGGAGGAGGAGGAGAAGGAACAGGAGGAGGACCATGACAAGAAGGAGGACGAGGAGGAAGAGGAAGAGGAGGATGGCGAGGACGAGGACAAAAACAAGAAGGAGGAAGAGGAGAAGGAGGAGGAGGAGTGCAAACCCAAGACCCATCAGCGAGGGTGCAATAAGCCCGCCCTTCATGTTCTCTCATTATAGGTCCCTACAGGGGGTCATGTTCAGTGATCGACGTGCCCCGTTAGAAGACAAACGTTTGAGAATTCTGATTGAACCGTGCCAGAACACCATTCCTGGTGCTTCACGGCCACGAATCAACGTTATTATTGCGTTCTGACAAGCCCGAATCGCGCCAGAACACCATTGTAGGCACTTCACCACAGCGAATCACGATACTTGCTGCGCCCTGACAGCTTCACATCCATGAAACTTCTACAAACTCTGAAAGCGAAAGCGCGCGGCGCTCAGGTGCCACCTCCATCCGCGAAGCTCGTCCAATTCGCTCAGACGAATGTGCGCGGCGCTGAGGCGAGGGCGACATTTTGAAAACGGACCGCCACCCATCGTTCCAATTATTGGAAGAGTTGGTTACGTATGTTTTCTTTGTTGTTTAAGGACAACACACAACCAAAACAACTTGTACCAAAAAACGAACGTGCGAGGCGTTTGGCGAGAGCCACAGTTCGAAAACGGCCCGACGTCCAGCTGTGAACATGTTGTAAATATTCTGCATGACGATCAGAAGTGATGAGGCAAGGCCAGGCGAAACAACCAGCCTGCCCTACACCCGCGTCCCGGAGTGCGACAGGGGAGAGTTATGTAAAAAGGGTCAGAGATGGAGGAGGAAGAGTTCTAAGATTATGGCTACCGTCTTGGGGTGTTCCAGGGGTCTTATTAAGGTTTTCTTGAGACTCTCACGGCCCTCTTTGGACAGTGGCGAGGTTATTTGGGAGGTCGCGGTGTTTTTTTAGATAATTTGGTTGCGATTTGGGGCCCTTTGGGGGGCCCCTTGGGACCATGCTGGAAAGCGTCGATCAAAGGAGGGGGGGGTCTTCCATTTCCCTTGCCTCCCTTTAGGGCTATCAACATCCTTTTTGGAGCCGCCTTTGGGGCGCTCTTACGCGCTCTAGGGGCCACCTCACAGGTTTCTCGGGCCCCTCCCGGGGTTCTATTAAGCAAGAAAAATTGGGGCAATATTGAAAAAATCCGAAGAGCATCGGAAGAGAAAAAGCTTCCGAGAGCATTGGAGGCATGTCGGACACTATTGTGTGGTTTCTTGGGGCCTTTTGGAGGCATGTCGGCCAGCTTGGGGGCTATTTGGGGGCATCGGGGTCCCTCCTGGAACCATCCTTGGCGAAAAGGACCCCGTGACATCGTGAACCCCCAAGCAAAATTGGGAGAGCAGGGACACCCCTCCCCGAATAGCTAAAGCCCTTTGGAAGAGCAATGAAAGATATTGTCAGATTATATAAACCCACAGAGCTAGTGGCACTTTTTGCTGACGTCCAGTTGGAACCGCTTCTCGCTGAACGGTCAAAGTACTATGATCCGCGCAAAGACGAAACGACATTAAACCAGAAAAGACTGTCGGGTGTGCACATAAAACTGAAACCAGCTTGCATCAGCATCCGACGACGAGACTCGCAGGGCTTCACTGGGGACGTTATGGAAACGGACCGACCAATCAAACCACAACGTAATTTAGACCCTTCCGAATAATCCACATCGGCTTGGTCAACACCCGGTAAACCCAATCCACGCAGTTTTCGCCAATTGTTTCCAGCGTGCGCCATGCAAGCGCATATACCGGTTGTCATTTCTAGTTTGATTGTTTTGTGACATGGAATTGCGATTATTGAATTTCCGACACGTCGTTGGTGCAGTTGGTGCGAGATGCTTGCGTTGATTGTCTGGCACACGCGATTCTTTCGTGACGACGGACAGATCCCGGAAGCGACTAGCGCGCGCACACGTGCGCAAGAATACCGCCGATCAATTGAGCATAATCATGTTTGCATATATATACATATATATATATATATATATACATACATACATACATACATACATACATACATATATACATTTACATACATACATACATACATACATATATATATTACATTTACCATAATATATATATATATATATATAATAATATATATATATACATATACATATATATATAAATATATATAATATATATATATATATATAATAATATAATATACATACATACAACATACATACATACATACATCATACATACATACACACACATACACAAACACATACACATACACATACATACATACGTACATACATACATACATACAGATACACTGACATAGATATTGATATGTGCATGGCAGATTCTAGCTACATACATATATATATATATATATATATATATATATATGTATATGTGTGTGTATGTATGTATGTGAGTGTGTGCGTCTGTCTCTCTATAAATGAAATTCCAGAAACGCATGCAAAGTATTATCATTTAGTAGAACTGTTAGTGTTTCAGACAACGTGTTTGTCGTTTTGATTGTTCAAATCATTTTAAAAACATGTCTTCGAAGCCGATCATTTTATTCACAATATGTATATATATATATATGTGTGTGTGTGTGTGTGTGTGTGTGTGTGTGTGTGTGTGTATCTGTGTTTTTCGTTTCGAACGCGCTTTCTTCTCGACGACTCTAAAATATCTGCATTTCTCATGTCGATACATATATATATATATGTATATATATATATGTATATATATATATATATATATAGAGAGAGAGGTGTTGCGAAGAAAAGAATTTATAGAGATGTGCATTGCCAGTTTGCGCAAGAAAGGCATTCCGACATGTGCAATTAATTTGCCGGTCATTTCTTCGTTCAAACCTTTAAATTCCAGATAACAAGAAAACATTAGAGTGCAGAAACGCAGAATTGAGTTGAAGACATGTAAGTTTAGCATGTATCTAGGTCATTATTATGGGAGGTTCGAACATTTGTCTAATTTTGTATTTTGGAATTAGCATTGTATGTTCAGATATAGATATACAATACGTTATAGTTTTCTTTCTCTGATGGGGTCTATGTTAGATATGATCAATTTTCTTGAAACGTAATTAAATTTAGAATCAGCAAAGCAGTTGTTTTAATTTTTGGTTTAGTATTTGTAGACAAATCAATGATTCTAGAATATTATGCTAAGTATTTTTGTCCTTGGGACATGCAATTTTTCTGCGTGTATAATAGTGAACAGTTATGTTATAAATATGTATTGCGTGTTTGTGTTTTGATTTTTTTATCCATACATATTATTTAAACGTAAGAGTTTATTTATGTTTGTAGGTAGAAATACGATATAATTTACAAGTTAGTTCAGCAAAGAGTCGTTCGTATTTCAGCAGATGTTGTTTTTCGAATCGTGAGTATATTCAGTTTCGGTTTTTCTGTTACCGAACACGTTTCAATGATAACAAGAGGAGAGTTAGGTTACAGTTAGTGTTTGTTCTTCACGCAATCAAGAAGAATAAGTAATGCAAAGCATCAAGAATGAACAGTTGAAACTAAAACATTTAGAAGGTTTTTTTTTTTCATAATTCTCCAGATCGTTCAAACGAGAAGCATTTTTATTCCTAGATGAGAACAGTTTTTCCAGAGTAATTGAGAAAGTCATATTTGGCGTGTTGATTTTTTCGAAAATGTTGTGCAGGATATGTTTGGTTTGCAGGATCATTTGAACGAATCATTTGCGAAATTACACAGAACGAGGAACCCCAAATGTGAACAGAGTATGGCGTTCAGACATTAAAACACATTTGATTATCGTCTCGATTCCAAACGCATTATGATATTGTAATAGAGAAACATGTTTCATGGTTCGTGCCAACGCGTTCTATATTTCATTCCCAGTGTGAGTTTAGTTAGAAAGTTAGTTTTTGGAAGGTAAGATTAATTGAAAATATAAGCCATTTTTAGTTCGAGTTACATTGATTTCGAACACAAGTTTTATAGTTTAAGATCGATTAGATGACATTGCGATTACAAGTCAAAGTTCAGAAATTAAAGAGCAGTTTTTTAGATGTTTCTAAACAGCGCGTTAGTTTCCAGATTTTGAGAATTTAGATGTTATTTACCAAGTTAGTCAGATTTTTCCAGATTTAGAGATGTTGTCTAAATTGTTTTCTCGTTTTGATTTTTCCGGCCATTTTCGGATTCCGCAGAGTTAGTAAACCGTCAATTCTAGAGCCGAGTGACTCACAGAGTTGTTTTGCGATATAGAATTGGCAGGGCGAATAGTTTTCGATTTGCACATTGATTACAGCTGTAGGTACATTCAAATGGTTTCCGATGGTTTTATGTGCGATTCTTGTGCAGAATAGGTCGTATAGTGCGAATTTTAGAATGCATTCGTAACATTGAATGTTTTGCTCAGAGTATTTCCAATTTGCTTGTCTTTGAAGTTGAATATTTATTTTGGGGTTTTACGATTGAGACGGGTTCATTCTGATACCCAGGGGTTGTACTCAAGATTCTTAGAGCTGATATAGAGCGAGCCGAACGATGTAAAAGTTAAAGTGACAAGAGACATATCAATCCGCAGAGAGATTGATGTTTCAGAGAAGCATTCGAGTTAATCAAGTTCAGAAGGACGCGAACCCTTGTCTGCAGTATTCGAGTTCTCAATCGGAGTTTTCGAAGTAGTTTGTTCTGGAGTCACCGTTTGAATTTCATTTGAGGTTCAATTGCATATTTTCTTTTGCCTTCCCGTTTGGGTCTCGTTTTCTGAACGAAAATTGATCCAATCGGAAGTCCAATCCTTTTTTTTACATGTGCATTTGCTGGAAAGACAGAAACAGACGTGGTGGCGGCACAGTAATTATGTTTGAGATCAGCACGTTTTTCGTGTTTCATTTTGCATCTCTTTGCGCAGGCTGTTGTTGTTCTATACGTGGTTCGCGAATTCTCAACGCTTGTTACGGTGAGATTTATCCGTGCAATTTTGTTCAACAAGTTCGAAGATTAGTTTTTCGAGATATTGGAGGTTTCATAATTCGCGATAATCCGTCTTGGTTTCGACATTCTTTCGGTTTTACCGATATAGATTCTGTTCATCGTTGGTCGTCGCAGAAGTATATTGCGAGTTTCTATTCAGTTCATATTTATTTTTTGCTGATTGACTACGGTAGTGCAGCGAGTCCCAGTGAAGCCGATTTTTTCTTCGTACGGGTTAGATATGCAAGGTTTGTAAACCATTTAAGCCCTTGATCAATTCATTTGGTCTTCTAAGAAGACGAAATGATCTCAATTTCACAATTATTTTAGTGCTGAACATTGGTTTTTTTTCCCTCGCTTGTCTCGGTTGTGTCTCTGCGGGCATTTCAATTCGCGTACAATCCAGGCCATGACGCTTGCCATGCGATATCATTTTTTTTATTTATTTTTTTCATCTCTATTTAATTCCGAACGGTTTGTGTCGAAGTTGTGTTTTTCGGTTTTCCGTCTTGTTTGTGTGTTATGTATTCGCCAGCTGGCTGAGGTTTCGCTCGCGTCTAGAACCATTGGAATGGCCGACGTGGTTTTTCAGGGCATTTTGTTCGACCCACTTTTTTGGAATGTATTTTGGGGTGACGCTCGGGAGGCCATCAGCATGTTCTTTCAAGAGATTATGGTTTTCGTCCCTTTCTTATTTCCACCTCCGATGCTGATGTGTTTGCGTCAGTGCAGCAGTGTCGAAGCTGCTTGCATAAATGGGGCCGTGCACGCAGATGTTTTTCAGTTTTCCAGAGAAGGTTTGCGTATAGTTTCACGGAGCCGGCCGGCAGGAAGCAATTTCAAAATTTTAGGTGTTGAGTTCGACTGTAATGACAGATGCGGTGCAGAGCTGTGTGCACGAGTGTGGCTGGAGGCTGCACTGCGCACAGGCGCCGAGCTTGTCTTTTTATAGAAAAAACATATTTTATCATTTATCGAATACAGAACTTGTGCTTTCACACATGTCTCTAATTCCGTCTTGGCCTCTTTGGATCGTGTTCAAAGCTTGTTTTTCCGCAGTGTGGGCATTTCTGATTTAGATGCACTCCACCACTTTGAGTTGGCTCATTTGTGTTCTCGAAGAGATAGCTCACCTGGGTCTCATTCAGCACTCTTCTTGGGGCCGGCCCGGCATGTTTTAAAGATTTTTTCCAACTTGATTCGTCTCCTGTCCCCCTTCCGCGCTCCTCCCAGGCGTTTCCGTCATGTGGCCGATCCCTGTTTTGCTCGGGCTCCAGATTATGTAATTCGTTCCGCGTTGGGTGGCGCTCGTATGCAATCTTCTTCCTGAGAGCGTTGTTAGCGCCCAGGACGTGAAAAGTTCCAACGTCTACTGTCTCTTTTGTGTTATGCCTCAGGTGAGGTTGCGACCTGGCCACAGCTGTTCTCGTGGCGTCAGCCGCTTGCCTTCCACGAAGTGCGCCGCTTTCGGAACTGGTGCCCGGCGGCCTGATGGCCCTTGTGTGGTGCCCAGGCGGTTTTTTTTCTTGAGATGGCCACGAACATTTTATTTTTTTCTGCGTCTCTTTTTCTTCATTCCTTTCGTTTCTGTTCTTCTTCGTTCCCGTCCTTATCTTTTCCCTTGTTTTTCTTCTTGTTTTCGCTCGTTCTCCTTTCTTGTTCTTGTCTTCGTTTCTTGCTTGGTTCGTTGCCTGCTGCTGCCGTCTCTCGTCGTTCTGCCTATTTCCCTTCCTCTTTCCGCTTCCTCTGGCCGCCTGTGGAGCGCAGGGCGCGCGCGCTGCGCGGTCGCCGTGCACGTGGGCTGGCGCCCTTCCCCCCCTCTCCCCTCTTCTCCCCCCCTCTCTCTTCTTTCTTGTTGCTGCTCGTTGATGTATGTTTTTTTTTTTTTTTTTTTTTTTTCTTTTTCCCCCCCCTCTCTCTCTCTCTCTCTCTCTCTCTCTCTCTCTCTCTCTTCCTGTCTTTCTCTTACTCTTCTCTTCTCTTTTTTCTTTTCTTTGTCCTCCTGCGAGCTCCCCGCCGGCCTGTCGAGCAGGCTTCGGTGGCCCCGTAGGATACAGGTTTTTTTTTCCCACCCTGGATGCAACTTTTTATTTCGATGTGACTTGGTGACGATAATTGCGCTGCAGAGGTCCGATAGAAAAAAATTATCCCGGCGAAGCAACCTAACAGCGATGTGTAGAAGCATATATGAAAGCATTTCTTTTAAAATTCAGATGAAAATCCAGTTGTAGAATTCTGCTGTTCTCGCAGTCGTAGTCGCATTCGCGATGACAGTCGCAGCGGCAACGGCAGTCGCAGTCACAGCCTCAGCCTCAGCCTCAGCCTCAGCCTCAGCCTCAGCCTGCCTCAGCCTCAGCCTCAGCCTACTTCAGCCTCAGCCTCAGTCTGCCTTCAGCCTCGGCCTCAGCCTCAGCCTGCCTCAGCCTCAGCCTGCATCAGCCTCAGCCTCAGCCTCAGCCTGCCTCAGCATCAGCCTGCTTCAGCCTCAGCCTCAGCCTGCCTCAGCCTCAGCCTCAGTCTGCTTCAGCCTCAGCCTCAGTCTGCCTTCAGCCTCGGCCTCAGCCTCAGCCTGCCTCAGCTTCAGCCTGCCTCGGCCGCAGCATCAGCCTGCCTCCGCATTCAAAATGTGGCCCAGGAGTGGAATTCTGGGAAGTAGAAGAACACGAAGTGGCTACAGTTGGCTCCGGGCATTCAAAATGTGGCCCGGGAATGGAGTTCTGGGAACTTGAAGAGCACGAAGTGGCCTACAGTTGGCTCCGGGCATTCAAAATGTGGCCCGGGAATGGAGTTCTGGGAAGTCGAAGAGCACGAAGTGGCCTACAGTTGGCTCCGGGCATTCAAAATGTGGCCCGGGAATGGAGTTCTGGGAAGTCGAAGAGCACGAAGTGGCCTACAGTTGGCTCCGGGCATTCAGAATGTGGCCCGGGAATGGAGTTCTGGGAGGTCGAAGAGCACGAAGTGTGTGACTGTTGGCTTAAATCGACTTCTGCGGCACCCTGTCCGGCACCCGCCCAGACCCCCCTGTGGAGTCATCTGCTGCTCTCTTTTGACACCACTAGAAACCTATCAGAACAAGCTGTTAGGTAAAAAGCTTATCTGCAGCGCGGGTTGACCAAGAAACCAATACCGTCTCCAAGAAATTAGCAGAGTACGAATAGTGATTCAGCCCGAGCGCTGATAGAAAATTGATGTTAGGGGTCTAGATACAATCAAAGAGCGCGCCTCATGATTGTCTTCCGATTGCCGTGCCTAAGCTCGGGAGGTCATCTGCAGTTCGAGTTTAGTTAGAAAAACCATTCCATCACCAGGCAAAAAGCAGTATATGAAGTCGCTCGGCTTCCATGTTGAGAACATACCGAATCCAAGCGTCTAGATACTCCAGACTAGCGCGTTTGATAATATCCTCCCGATTTATGTGCCGACTAGTTTTAAAGTTTAGATGCCGCTCGACTTCAGTCAAGGATCTCACCGTCATCTCGGGAAGAAAATGGTAAAATACGAACAGTTTCGCTAGCTCGAGTAGCAGACCGAGTTCGGACCTCTAGATGCTTCAGACGAACGCGCCTGATGATTTCGAATCGAGTATGTGTGGGCATCAGCTCTGTAGCTCTCTAGGACGAATTAAGTACAGAAAACCACAACCGCTTTCCAGAAAATTCGTACAATACTAATGTTACGGACCTAGCTCGAGTAGTAGACCGAGTTCAGACCTCTAGATGCTCCAGACGAACGCGCATGAGGATTATCAATCGATTACGTAGGCGTACAAGCTATGTAGCGCTCCTCCAGTTCAAGTGCAGAAAACCGAGAGCACCGGTCAACAAATTTCTTACAATACGATTAGTGTCGCGGACCTAGCTCGAGTAGTGGAACGACTGCAGACCTCTGGATGCTTGAGATGAGCGCGTCTGATGATTCTGAATCGATTAAGTAGGCGAAGCAGCTCTTCAGCCCTTCTACAGCTCGAGTTAAGTACCGAAATCCGGCAGCATCTGTCAAGAAAACCGGTAGAATACGAATAGGGATGCGGACCTAGCTCGCTTACCAGAGTGAGTTCAGACCTCTAGATGCTTCAGATGAACGCGCCTGATGATTCCGAATCGGTTTCTGTGCGTACCACAGCTCTGTAGCTCTCCTAAATCTCCAGGAGCAAGGGGGGCCTGCCGACTGAGCTGGCGCCGAGCCCCGTGGAGGACAGATGCCCGCCTGGCGTCGCACCTCCCGCGGGGGGGCTGCGCACCTATGCGGCAGGCGCGACCCTGACGCCGGAGGAGCTGTGCAAGTTCGGATGCGGGATGATGGTTTCGGCCAGTGCCGGCGGCAGGAAGTTCGACACGTGTTGCAGGGCTTGCGCCACGAGCGAGAAGCACGACCAGCGCGACGAAAAGTGCAGCGGTCCTCCCAAGGCTCCACTGGTGTGCCCAGAAGGGGCCAAGTGCAGGGGCCGAAGCAGGCAGCATTTGACGGATTTCGTGCACCCTCTGGACCTCGACTACGCGAAGTGTTGCCAGGCCGCCGGTAAAGAGGTGGAGCCGCTCACTCTGAGAATGGCGTTCGACTGGATGGATGCAGACGGCTCGGGGAAGCTCTCTCGGAAGGAGCTCGCGGAGGGGATTGCGATCGTCGGTGATCTCAGAGGCGATCAGATGGAGGACAGGCCTGTAATCTCAGATAAGGCTTGGAGGGAGGTCGACGCAGACGGCAACGGTGTTGTCAAGTTCTTCGAGTTTGCATGCTGGGCTGGCCCCAGATGGGGCCTCCCGCTGGGCCTGAAGCGGAGCGCAAGCATGGCGCAGAAACAGTGCTGTACTGTGTTGGGATGCCCTTGCACGGAGTTCAAGCCTGCCAAGCTCCACAGGTGCACGAACTGCAAGCACAGGAAAAGTCTGCGTGTTCAGCACGGCAAAGAGGGCGGCGAGGTGGACTATCCAGCATACTGGAGCACAAAGTCGGCAGACGTCTGCGATCTGGTTCCTCTCCCGTCCAGACAATTGCAGGACTTTCAGGCGCTCTCTGACAGCTCCTACAAAAAGACGTGGACCCGTGACAGGACGAGACACAACCCTGACCGACCTGAAGTCCCAAAGGGCTACCGGGTGATAAATGCATTCAGGAACGAGAACGGTAAATTATGGAGCGAGTATTTTTCTCGCCCGTCTACGTTGCAAGATCAGATGAGGGGCGCGAGTGGTTCGGGGTCGCAGTCAATCGCAGTCTACAATAAGGAGGTGCGAACTTCGGTGGCTTCCGTCAAGTTCAATCACGGCGACGTGTTGGCGCGCGATTGCAACGAGTGGTACTTGCTGCATGGCGCCAACCCTGCCGCAGCAATGGAAATTTGCAACTCAGATTTTACAATTCGAACTGCTGGCTCGAACACTGGCACTTTGCATGGCCGAGGATTGCTTTTTGCCGACTCGATCACCAAAGCCGACGAGTATTCAAAGCCCAACAGTAATGGGGTCTACGCAGTCCTCGTCTGCCGCGTCTTGGGGGGCCGCGTCCTCTACACCGGTGAGGTCAATCCCGATCCAGAGGACCTGGTCGAGCAGTGCGTCTCGGGCCCCTACGACGCAGTCCTTGGGAACCGCGAGAAGTGCCGGGGAACGTTTAAGGAGTTCGTCCTCTTCGACACGGAGGATGTCTTCCCCGAGTTCATTATCGAGTACCAGAGGCTCTAATGAGCGGGCGCCCGGCTGCCCGAGGTGCGCCTCGGTGGGCCGCCGGGCGGAGCCCTCGCCGACGCCTTCGTCTTCGGCGCCCGTCTCCCAGAGCTCATCAGCACCAGGGGAGGGGAAACGCCGCAGGCCTCAATTTTTGGTGCTCCGCGCTGGACTTCTGAGATCCGCGCTGAAGCCCCCGAATTTTCGTCTTCTGCGACATCCGTCGGGTTGCTTCTGCTGGCTCGAACCCTGAGAGCCGGGCGTTGTATATTTGTTGTTGACACGTGGGGTTGCGAACGTGTGGTTCTCCTTCACCTGTCGCGCGAGCGAACTATTTGTGCCTCCGACTGCTGCCATCGTTTCGATGCAAATGGTGGCCGCGGAACGCATGACGACGGTGAATCGGCGCCTTTTCCACATGTTGTCGGACAGTAATATGAGGTTTCGTGTTCGGACGGATCCCCGCGGGGCACACGTTGTACGTGCGTGGGGTTCGCGTCGCCCCTGCCGCTGCTCCCGCTGGATATCGAAGACAGGGGAGGAGGGAGTGGGGGGCAGACTTGGCTTGGGGAAAGTGGAGGATTGGAGGAGGAGGAGAACGCCGTCACCAGATCTTGCTCACGGTGCCCTGCTTGATAGCAAGGCTGCCCTTTCTCGTGCCAGTCATGCAGTTGTTCGATGTCCAGCCGTGTGGCATTGAATGAGGGGGGGGGGCCTGCGACTCCCAACCCGAGCTGACATCACCATCTTGAGGCACTATTGGTGGATTGTTGGGGCCATCGAGTTACCATGTTGTGCTCTGACGTCCATTGATCCGCGCTGTTGGCCGCTCGTGGCACGCTTTAGCAAGGAGTTTTGCTTGCAGGTCTCCCAGAAGCGCCATCGCTCGCGCGGATCAGAGTTATCAGTACCAGATTAAGCACATGTTTGGGCCTGCCTGCTTGGAGGATGGATCACGCCCCTGGCCCCCGCTGGACTGGCGAGTCCCACCAGCCCTTTAGGGCGTCGGTGGTTTAACGAGTTTCCTCTTCCACCCCTCCTTCTTCCCCTTCGGGGAGGGGTTTACCCCTCCCCCTGCCCCCTCCCCACTGACCTGGACAGGGGGGGCCGCGATCGGTCAGAGCGTCCAAGATCGACCCCTGGGAGGGCTAAAACTCCTGAGAGGGGGGGCTGAAATTTAGGAACCCCCCTTCGTTGGTCGATCTCCTCCAAGATGGCTCCGAGAGACGTCTTGGACCCCCTCTTGGGCCCTGCGCGCGGGCGGGCGGAGCGCCGCCCGCCCGCCCGCAAGGCCCAAGAGCCCACCAAAACGTTCGAAGATACTTCCAAGACGCCACCAGGGAAGAGGAAGATGAGGAGGAAGAGGAGGAGGAGGAGGAGGAGGAGGAGGAGGAGGAGGAGGAGGAGGAGCAGGAGGTGAGGGAGGAGGAGGAGAAGAGGAGGAGGAAAAGGCGGAAGAGGAGGAAGAGGGGGAGGAGAACAGCTGCCGATCATCGGCGCTCTTCGTTCGAGCGCCTGGTGTAGGATGGGCTGGTGGGGATACGCGAAGCGTCAAGAATTGCACCGCCGTGCAAAGACGCGGCAGGAGTTCAGGAGATCCACACGGAGACCCGGCGTGTTTCACACGGCGATTTTTCATTGACACAGGGCATTTGGTGAGTAGGACGGCGAAGCTGAACAAAAAAAAATGTTCCGGTTGACCGTGGACCGACCGACTGCGCCTCGGCCCAAGCGATTGCGCATGGGTTTTCATTCGCCGTGCTGGCGCTTGCCTATCTCGCGCTCGTGGTTGTACTATCCTTGGCGTACGTGCTTCTTAGGGTTTGGGGCAAACGCTTTTAGCACGTCGATGGTGATGGCGTCAGTCATGCATTTTGCGCTGCGAGACAGTTAGATGTATGAGTTGCCGTTTGGGAATGATGCAGACATGAACACGCGATGTATTCCGCACAACGTGAGTCCATGTATGTCTCAGAGTAGTTGTGTTGCTATTATTTATTTCCTTGTCATGGCGTTTCTTTTTGTTTCCAGCCAGGAGGACCTTCAAGCGACCAAACAAACACAATTCGCGCTTCTCGTGCTGATTTCTGCTGCTCTACATGTGTCGGGATTTCCAAGCGAGGAAGCAATCTAATTTGCAGTGCCGTGTTTTTTTTTTCCCCTCCGTTTTGCGGTCGCTGGGGCGTTTGAGTGAGAAAGGCAACATGGTGCGCTTTTTTCGTGGTGTTTTCTTGCGTTTGGCGATTGCTGGGGGTCTGAAACAAGAGGCGCAGTTGTGCTCGCAGTGTCGCGGTGATTGTTTTGGTTCCACGGCTGCAGGGTTTTCACACTAGAGAAACAGTGGAATTCGTAGTGACGTTGTGTCTTTGTAATTTTATTGACGCTGGGCCCTCACATGGGAAAACAGGTGAACAAGAACACTCCATTTCGTAGTGTCGTGTTGCTTTCTCCTGCTGTGCGGCTGCCTGGGTTTGTTATGGCGTCTTGGCCCCCCAAGCATCCACTGTACAATTCACAGTACTGTGTTTTTTCTTTCGCTTTACGGTTGTTGTTGGTCTCAAGCCAGGGGCGCAGTCATTCGCAGCGTTGCTGTGCTTTCTCCGCGAAGCTGTCTTATTTGCACGATTGCCAGGGCCTTCGAGCGCAGGAAACACTATACTTCATACTGCCGTGCTGTTTTCTTTTGCTTTACGGCAGCCGGGGCCCTCAAGCGAGAGAAACCATAGGATTCGCCGTGCCGTGGTGTTTTCTCCGCCGTGTTTCCTGCTCTTTGACGGTTGCCAAAACGAAGTATATCATACATTTTGCAGTGCGGTGATGTTTTCTGTTGCTGAACGGCCGCCGTGGCCTTCAAGCGATAGAAGCAACAGGATTCGCAGTGTCGTCTCCGCGGTGTTTTCTTTTCTTTCATTGTTGCTAGGGTCCTCAAACGAAGAAAGTTCAGTTTTTTCCAGAGCCGTGATGCGTTCTCTTGCTTTACGGGTTCTGGGGCCCTGAAGCGAGATACAATGGGTTTCGCCGTGTCGGGGTGTTTTCTCCGTGGTGTTTTATGCTCTTTCACGGTTGCCGGAGCGCTCAAAAGTTGGAAAGAGTATCAGTATAAGTATCCGTGCTGTGTTTTTTTTCTCTTGCCTTATGACCGCCGGGGTCTCCTAACGAGAGATCCAGTATGCATTCGCAGTGTCGTGTTTTTCTTTCTAGTGTTCGGTGTTTCCCCTGGTCCTTCGAATCGTGGGTGCGTTAGTGTGCGACTTCTTGGGGAATCGCTGAAGCACAGGAGATTCCGGCGGCACAGGTCCTCCCTGGCCCCAGTCGTTCCGGCATGGCGGGGCCCACAGCTGCCGCAGCCTCAACGAACCTTCAGCCCGTGCCACCACCATCCCCGACACCTGGAGGACCAGACCCCCACCTTGTCCTTACCGCCACCGCTCCACCTCTCCCGCCTCCTTCCGCATCCCCTCCTCTTCTGCGTCGTGGTCGTCATCGATTTTCTCCTCCGTGGGCGTCGTCGGATGTTTCTTCTCCGCACGGGGTGAGTGGGTGGAGGGTACGTCACAAGATGAGCTGATCTACGCGAGTGAAGATTCTGTGAGCGGCGTGAAGTGGACATACTCGGGACGAAGCGGGCGGATGACATTGGGAGGACGATTCGAGACAGACGAAGGTGGCCTGGACGTTGTGTGCCAGGGCGAAAGTCGCTTGCACGACAGGGGGCCGACGACGCGGGACGTGACCACCGCCGCAACCGAGAATGAAGAATCTGGGCGAGTGGAGAAACACTCATGCTCTGCGGATCCTGAACTTGCTGGGCCGTCTGACCGTCCCGAAGGCTCTGGCCCTGGCTTCAGAGACCTTCCCGACTCCAGCTCCCGCTTCTACGACTCCAGCGCCCGTTGCCACTCCCCCCGACTCCAGCCTCGACCCGACTCCAGCCTCTGAGCGGCCGGTTCATCCTTCACCGGTGCCCCGGCGTCCACCCGTTGCACCCGCGGCAGGTGCCCTCCGTGCGGCGCTGCCTGCCTGTCTGCCTCGGGGGCCCTGGCCCTGCCTGCCGAGCCTTCCTGGCCCGGGCAGCCTCGTCCTCCTCCCCGGGCAGCCTCGCCGGCCCACAGGATGGGCTGCGGGTAGCGTGCCCGCGACCGCGCGCGCCCGCCGCTGAGGGCCATGGCGCAGGGTGAGGACGTGGGCCCCGGCCATGGCCGCGGTCGTGCCCAGGGCGCTGACAAGGAGGCCGGCAGCCTTCAGGCGGCGAGGTCCACACGTGGCCACCGTGGTGCTCCAGGCCACCGCCCGTCCCCGGCCCAGGAGCGGTGTGCTTGCCGCTCTTGGCCAGGGCAGGAGGGCGTATCACCGCTCCTGGGCCAGGATGGGCCTGGCCTGAAGTCGGGCCTGTCCCCCTACAGGGAGATTTTCGACGAAAAATAAAGAATACCCCCAAAATAGTCAATAGTCCAAGAATAGTCTGGGGACTATTTTTGGCATATTTTTGGGGTATTTTTGGGGTATTTTTGCATTTTTCGCCGAAGATCCCCCTGTAGGGGGACACGCCCGACATAAGCCTGGCCAGGAGTAGTGGGCCGTGGGCATCTGTGGATCTCGTCGCCCGAGAGGGAGCGAAACAGCTGCACAGGCACGAGCTTCCGGAGCTCCGCGCGGGCCTCCGAGAGCTCGTGTGTTTGCATTTTTCCCTATTCTGGGCAGGGCATCGCCCGTGTCCTGAATTCTCGTCTCTCTTCCCTCTCTTTCATCCTGCACGTCTTCTTCTCGTGATCCTCAATTCTCGTCTCTCTTCTCTCTTTCTTTTGTCCTGCACGTTTTCTTCTCGTGATGGATGCTGCCTTCCTCTGTGCCCTGGTGTGCCCCCCCCCATCCCGCGCGCTGGCTCTCTGCATGCAAGATCTCCAAATTTGATCCCTTTTACGTGTTCTTTCCCGCGGGAACGACTTCGTACGCGAGGCATGGCGTTTGCGCTGCAGCTCCTACCGCTCTTTTGCCCCTCCCCAACTACTCCTTCTGTGTACTATTTTCCTATCTCCCCTGGCCGCGTCCTTGTCTGCACAGGCCCTTCCCGCGACTTGTTTTTTTGAACGCTCACTTTGTGGATTTTTGCTGCCGCCCGCTGTTTTTGATTCAGGCGGAACGTATTCAGCAGTTGGGAGTAGCGCTCGCGAAACAGTCCCTGCCGCACTCCAGGCCCTGCCGCCTGTTCCAGTTTAGCTACTTATTACCCAAAACCTCTATCCTGATTGCGTGCAGACGCATTGGTTTGTCGCACAGGATTGCGACTTCCGCTTTTCTCTCTTGCTCATCACCCACCCCACAACGAAAGGCCCGTGTGCTCTCTACAGCCCCTTCCCGCGCAATAATACAAATACACACATTAACCTTCTTGCACCTGTCGCTATCTTCATCCTCATTCTGGCAGCATCATTATCATCCCAATCCTCATAGTATTTCTCATCCATCACCCTACCTCTCCATCCCCATTCTTATCCTAACCATCATCCATCATACTTTGAATCATAATATGCTCCCGCACTCTTAATCTTCACCCTCACTCTTATCGTAATCTCTCATCATGCCCTCATGCTCGCCCTTATCCTTACTGCCTTCTCCCATCCTCATACGTTTTCACTCTCATGCTCACCTACCCTCTCACTACCATATTTTTCCCTGATTATCCCCTGTCTCCTCTGCTCCCATCTGAATCACTCATACCCCCTCGCTCTCTTTCACTCTCATCGTCAGCCTCGTCCTCGGTCTCATCCCCGCCGCCCTCACCTACCTTCGTTCGTTGTCACCGCACTTGTCCCCATCCCATTCTTCTAAACCGAACGATCGACAGACATACTACTGTCCTAAATGGGCTTGAATCCTAGCGGCATTTCGCACACCACGTAACAACACGGGTGAATTGCCCTCCCTGAGGACTCTTACCGGAGGGTTGGACTTCGAGCAGCCATCGGCACGCCTTGCAGAAAGACCCGTGGAGTGGATCTCTCTCTCTCTCTCCATGTATGCGAGGCCACAACCTCTTCCAGGATCTTCCAGGATCACAGGGGGGCGATTGACATCTTCGGGTGCCCTGCGGCCCGAACGCACGCACGTCCGCCGCCACCCGCGGTCCAGGAAGACATGTCCCGCTGGCGGTGGACTTGTCTGAATCCTAGCCTCGGACTTCGGGCGGAGAGACTTCGGCACACACACACACCGCCTGGCCAGGACCCGTGTCTGCGGGGACACCCTGACCGGCGTCGGGGAACGGGGGAACACGCCTGCAACACCGTGGAAGGTCACGACTGCAGCTCCAGGCCCCACTCTTTCGGCGAGAACTTCTCGCGCTGGATCGACCCGTGAGGGCCCCACGGGCCCGACACAAACCAGGCGAAGGCGCCCCAGTGCGAGGAAAAAAGCGGCGCCGGGGTCCCCGGGCACAGGTCGCTTTCTTCCGGGAGTGGACCTCGCCAGCTCTCCCTCAGGGGCCCCCGAGTCCAGGACGTAACCCCTGGGGAGTAAGTCGGCACCGGCGCTTGCTCGGAAAGTGGCCTAATCCGGCATGACCCCATTTGATTCCGCTGAGTCCCGTTCAATTCTGCTTAATCGGGCTTAACCCTGGATTAGATCTGGGCCACTCTGGCTTGATGGCCCCTCAATCGGGCCTACCAGCCCTTACATCCTT